CTGAACTTGAGAAAATTTGATTGATGAACATAGATGCTCCATTGTTTGGGGCATACATATTTATAACTGTTATGTCTTGTTGATGTATGGTTCCCTCAAGTGGTATAAAATGTTCATCTTTATCCCTTTTGATTAACTTTGGCTTAAAGTCTACTTTATTTGATGTGAGGGTGGAAACCCCTGCTTATTTACGCAGACCATGTAAATGGTGCATTTTATCCCAACCTTTCACCTTCAGTCTGTTGACGTCTTTTCCTATGAGGTGAGTCTCTTGAAGGCAGCATATTGTTGGGTCTTTTTTTAATCCAATCTGCCAGTCTATGTCTTTTGATTGGTGAGTCTAGGCCATTAACATTCAAGGTTATTATTGAGACCTGATTTGTATTTTTGGTCATTTTGTTTATTTTTGGTATTTAACTTGACTTGGTTTCTCCTTTGGTTGGCTTTTCCTTTATTGTCGTTCTTCCCTCTGCAGATTTTCATTGTTGTTTTTTTATTTCCTCCTCCTGGAATATTTTGCCAAGAATGTTCTGTAGTGCAGGCTTTCTTGTTATAAATTCTTTTAGCTTTTGTTTAGTACAGAAGGTTTTTATTTCATTATCAAATCTGAGGCTTAATTTTTCTGGATATAAGATTCTTAGTTGGCATCCATTATCTTTCAGAGCTTGGTGTATGTTGTTCCAGGATCTCTGGCTTTGACAGTCTGGGTTGAAGAATCTGCTGAGACCTGAATTGGTCTTTCCTTATAGGTAATCTGATTTTTTTTCTCTTGTGGCCTTTAAAATTCTATCCTTATTCTGTATGCTAGGCATTTTTGTTATAATGTGTCTTATTGTAGATCTGTTGTTATTTTGTACATTTGGTGTCTTACAGGCCTCTTGTATTTGATTTTTCAATTCATTCTTCATGCTTGGGAAATTTTGTGATGTTATTTCATTGAAGAGACTGTGCATTCTTTTGGTTTGAATCTCTGAACCTTCCTCTATCCTAATAAATCTTAAATTTGGTGTTTTGATGCTATCCCATAATTCTTGAATGTTCTCTTCATTGTTTCTTACCATCTTCATTGTGAGGTCAGCTTTATTTTCAAGATTGTGTATTTTGTCTTCATTGTCTGAGGTCCTGTCTTCCAAGTGATCTAGTATGTTGATGATGCTTTCTATTGAGTTTTTTATTTGGCTTATTGTTTCTTTCATTTCATGAATTTCTGTTGTTGTTGTTGTTGTTGTTTTTCCCCAGAATCTCTCTTTCTTGAAGTAATCTCTTGCTATCTGTCTTTGCTCTCTTATCTCTTTGTTGGTGTGATTGATTTTTGCCTGTATCTGCTCATTTAGGTCATTCTTTAATTCCCAGATCATTTAGTTATGAATATTCTGAACTCCTTCTCTGACATTTCATCTACTGTGCCATCTGTGGATTCTATTGTTGTAGTATTTTGCTTTGTTTGGGGCACTTTCCTCCCTTGGTTTTTCATGATGTCTCTGTGTGTTCCTCTCTTGCAGTGTAGATCTGAGGTATTACAGTTTTGCCCTATTGTCTTATAATGTCCCTGCAGGTTACCAATACCTCACCTTTAAGGGGGAGATTAACATTACAGCACTCAATGTACCCAGTGTGCAACCATAGATCCGTTAGTTTCTATTTTTACATTTACAGTTTTGTTGCTATAATCAGAAATGATGAGTTTGGTTATCTTCTACCATATAGTTGATGGGTTTGCATAATGGTTTACAGTTTCTAATGGTAGAAGTGGTGGCTTGGGGGTGGGCTGAGATGTTTGTGAGGTAGGATGTTAGTAGGAGAAACAAGAGAGAGGCAACCCTATGCAAGACTGCCTGTTACCTTAGCAACAGGATAACTGCTAGCACCCCTAGTAAAGATACCTCTGGTGCAGCCAGGCTCACAGGGACTTTGGTGACATCTTACCAGGTCCTTATTGTTGTCCCTTGATAGAAGCCACGATATGCCAGTTTTGGGGCAGTGGCAGCTTCAAGCCTATATGTACCCTGATGTTGAGCCGTGGAGTCACACTTTGGTGAATAAGGAACCCCAGCTCAGGCTAGGCCTCTCTCTGGGTCACCAGGCCGCGTGGAGCTGCGGAGCTTCTAATATGATCTAACTCGTTTTTATATCCGTGTCTCCCTACTCCTGTCCTCAGGGTCTCACTTAGTGCCCTCTTGTTGTGGCTCTATAATGCTTTTTAAAGATGAAGTGGGAATCTTGGAACTGAAGGCATCGAAGAAGACACCCGTCAGCAAGAATACATTTTTGAAAATTTGGTTCATGTGGATAAATGACTGAAGGTGTTAGGTATCAGATGAGAAGTTATGGAATTTTAGAATAGGAGTGAACCTGAGATCATTTGGTCTGATCCCTTCATTCCATGTTTTAACTCAGAGAGTGACTGGCTTGAGATCACAGAGTCAGCTGGTCCATGTCAGGGACAGAGCCGAAGCGTCTGAGGCTTTTCCCATGACAGCAGCTTCCTCATAAGGTCATTTGTGGCCTACTGAAATTGCTACAGGTAGAGCAGATTCAAGTTTGATTTTAAGATGCAGTTTTTGGATAGGGAATCTTTTGTGACAGTTTCGAGTGAACTTTTTCTACTTTTTTTTTTTTTTTGGTTTGAGAACTTTGTTAAGCTATGATGGGTTCTGCTGGTGTCTTCCGGGACAGCCTATTATCATTTGCATCATTTAATGGCTTGCTATTCAGGCAAACTCAATAAAGCACTTAGGAGATTAGAGAATTGCAGCTGGAATAAATAACAAGGCAAGGTGCCCATTTCTACATGGTGTGTTGGATTCCAGTGATGATATTGCAGTAAAAGGCAGATAGGATCAGACAGGCTGCTGGAGATTTAGAGATCTGCCCTGTCTATGACTAAACAGATTCAGAGAGAATCATGGACAAGAGTTAAACAAATAACCAAATCAAACCAAACTGACCAACCAAATAACAACAAAAATCAGGGTAATCCAAACCCAGCAGTTTTGGGATATTATTTGTGTAAGGCATATATATACTTGAATGCATCATGAATTATCCTTATTTATATTTTATCCTTGAATTTACATAGTTTTGCAAAATTAAGAACTAAGTGCCATCTTTATTTTTCTTTTATTTTGCAAATAGTTTTGGATTTGTTATAATTTTGACACCCTTAATGTCCCTGTCTTTGAGATGGGCAATATCAGGGTACAAGTGTTTTCTGGACCTAGGATTAACAGGTGATGGAGGAGCATGTGATGAAAACAAGCAAGAGTTTGAACAAACCATTGTCTCATGTCATGGGGTCACATACTCATCAGGGAGAGGGTTCTACTTGCTCTTTCAATGTGACCTTTACTTCTTTGTAGCACATTCCCCTTTTGCAGTTACTTATCTGGTTTTGTGATTATTTATTCCATATCTGTTAACCTTGTATAACTCCTGAGGACAGGCCTTGTATCTATCTTGTTCACCTCTGTATTCCCACCTCCTCTTACAGTGTCTTGCACATGTCAAGTGCTTAATAAATATTTGTTGACTGAGTAAAGAGATGAATGCAGGAAGGAAAGTTTGCCTTCTGGATTTTAGGATAAACATAAGTGGGAGTGTAGAGGTAAATTGCATATGCCCCTGAACAGAATTTTTGGGTTCAGCAACCAGCCATCCCACTTTGGACAATATGGTTTTGGGCAACTCTTTTCTTCTCTCTGTGCTTTTGTTTTCTCATGTATAAAATGTGATTATAATTCCAAGCTCACAGGGTTGTTGTAAGGATTTTTAAATGAGTTAGTCCAGGTAAAGCACTTAGCATACAGGACTGGCAATAATAAATGCCCAAGAAATACTGCTTCCTATTATTATTAGCCATTTTTTAGCTTATGAGAGACTTTTGAAGCTGTTTATTTTTCTTTCCTTGAAGCTTTTGGATTGCTTTGGGATTCCTGTGTTGATGGCTCTCTCGTGGTTTGTTCTTCGTGCAAGATACAGAGTGATCCACTTCATTGCTGTGTTTGTCTGTCTGTTGGGGGTAGGAACCATGGTTGGTGCAGACATCTTAGCTGGGAGGGACGACAACTCAGGTAAGAACTTGTGTGTTATTTCTTTGTGGTTCAGTCACAGAAAAGTTTTGCTCATGTTAGCACTTTTAGTTTTGCAAAGATGCAGTCAAAGGCAGTAAACATGTCCTGGTTAACTATCTTTTACATTTTATTATCAGCTGTACTTGTTTCTGGTGTTTTGTAACTGTTTCCACAAAACAATCTTCCTGTTCCTACTGGCCCACAGTCATTCCCTGCTCTTTTTTTTTTTTCTTCTCAGTAAATAGTTTCTGGTTTTGTCTCATGAGAGAGTTGTTTCTTTGTATATTTGCAATCATCTTCTTTTGGTATGAACATTTAGATTAGTTACTGAAAAATCTATTGTAGAGTCTTCTTGTTTTTCTGTTTTTATCAAAAATGAGACTTGGTGTTCACTGGTGACATCTAAAGTCACTGTAGATGACTTTGGTGAAATTTAGACTTTGTGTCAGATTTAGACAAGAGCGTTTCCATGCTTCCTGCCCTGTGGTTTTTAATATATCCCCTTCCACAAATTCCATGAATTTGTCAAGTTATAGAATCACTTTCTGAGGCCTCATATTATGGAATATATTATTTTCCAGTTATTGAGGAGTAAAAATATGAAAACTTTGCCATATAGTGAGAATTGTATGAACTTCTAGAAACCAGGGTTAAATAAAAATCTTACTTATATGAACAGGAATCAGGTAAACCCCTAGTTCACTTATTGACAATATATTCCTCTTTGTGTCTTGCCTGCCTGTAGGGAGTGACGTGCTGATTGGGGACCTCTTGGTCCTGCTTGGAGCTTCCCTCTATGCCGTTTCTAATGTGTGTGAAGAATACATTGTGAAGAAGCTGAGCAGACAGGAATTTTTAGGAATGGTGGGCTTATTTGGAACAATTATCAGTGGCATACAGTTGTAAGTGTCTAAGATTTTTCTTAAGAACGAACTAAGCAAATATATCAGAGGTTGCTTTCTAACTACTAATATTCATAAGTTCGGTTAAGCCCAAATTCACTTCTGAAATAGAAAGCTGATAAAGATTTGTTAGAGGATTGTTAAACATCAATATTATTATGTTTTATTTTCTTATGCATGTGGGATTCCATAGGATTCCTGACTACAATGTTGTGGAGGCCTTGCCAGTAAGAACTTTTTCTTTTAAAATTATTTTCGAAAAAATGTTAACATATTAACTTTCTAATCTTGTTCAAGGGAAAGGAGTATGCCATGTTTTCCTTCTATAGCTGATTGCTGTTGAAGAACACTTGCAAAGGAGTCTCACATATCATTTTTTTTT